GGGCCTTCTCCCTTTTGTTCTTTCTCTTCCCTGTTGGAATGGTGTCTGGAGGAGCTGTCCCTGGAGTAGCCAGGGAACCAGAGCAGAAAAGCTGTGTGGGGTCCAAGACCTCAGGGGCCTTCTCCCTTTTCTTCTTACCCTTCCCTGTTGGAATGGTATCTGGAGGAGCTGTCCCTGGAGTAGCCAGGGGACCAGAGCAGAAAAGCCGTGTGTGGTCAAAGACCTCAGGGGCCTTCTCCCTTTTGTTCTTAACCTTCCCTGTTGGAATGGTATCTGGAGGAGCAGTCCCTGGAGTAGCCAGGGGACCAGAGCAGAAAAGCCGTGTGTGGTCAAAGACCTCAGGGGCCTTCTCCCTTTTGTTCTTACCCTTCCCTGTGGGAATGGTGTCTGGAGGAGCTGTCCCTGGAGTAGCCAGGGGAGCAGGGCAGAAAAGCCGTGTGTGGTCAAAGACCTCAGGGGCCTTCTCCCTTTTCTTCTTACCCTTCCCTGTTGGAATAGTGTCTGGAGGAGCAGTCCCTGGAGTAGCCAGGGGAGCAGAGCAGAAAAGCTGTGTGGGGTCCAAGACCTCAGGGGCCTTCTCCCTTTTCTTCTTACCCTTCCCTGTGGGAATGGTGTCTGGAGGAGCTGTCCCTGGAGTAGCCAGGGGAGCAGAGCAGAAAAGCCATGTGGGGTCAAAGACCTCAGGGACCTTCTCCCTTTTGTTCTTACCCTTCCCTGTGGGAATGGTGTGTGGAGGAGCTGTCCCTGGGACAGCCAGGGGAGCAGAGCAGGAAGGCTCTGTGACATCAAAGATCTTAGGGGCCCTTTCTGTTCTTAGGGCCCTCTTTCTGTTCTTACCTTTCCCTGCAGGGATCATGGGTGGATCAGTACCTGGCAGAGGCTGGGAAGCAGAGCAGGAAGGCTGAGGGCTACTGGTGAGGGTGGAGTCCTGCTGCTTTCTGTGGTTACTCTCCCCCGCAGAGATCAAGGGTTCAGGAGCAGTACCTGTGGCAGGCAGGGGAGGAGGGCAGACAGGCTGTGTGGTGCTGCTGATGTCTAGGGCCTGCAACTTACCCATCAGCCTGGCATTCACAAGCTGGAATGCTGCCTCCTTCTCCTGACCTATGTGCTCCGCGGTGATCTTATAGCTCAGTTCCAGAGGTGGTGGCAGCCTGAGGGGTGGCCCTTGGCGACGCCGCAGGAGAGGGATCTTTCTTCTTCCTAGGCCAGCACCCTCTGGTGTCATCTCGTGTTCCTTTCTGGTTTCTTCATGTCTGGATGGTGTGTCTGCCACCACCTGGTTCCCGGTCTTGCGGGGAACTTGGGGGGCCGAACACGGTTGCTGGAGGCTGTCCTGCCTGGCCGCCTTCAGATCTTTGGCGGAGCCCGGGGGCGGCCTGGGGTGCGAGTGGGCTGCAGCCCTCCTGCGCTGTCCTGGCAGCCCCCCTGTGGAGCTGTAGGAGCTGCTGATGGCATTTCGCTTGGTGGATCTCACACAGGAGGGCTGGGGGGAGGGGGCAGCTGGAGCTCTGGCCCTCTGCCTGCGGTGGTCTGTGCTCAGAGGCCCAGGCCTGGGGACATAAGGCACCTGGCCTCGCCGGCCTACCACGGGCCTGAAGGCGGACGGGGGCCTCGCAGCCTCCTGGGCGGCCCTCCTCTGCTGAGCCTCCTGCCTCAAGAGCCAAATGCCCGAGCAGTCCCTGCGGGAGGACCTACGGCTGCTGCTGCGGTGTGTCTGAAAATCGTCTGCGGGAAGCACTGGCCTCCCCAGAAGAGAGCCTACCTGTTGGCCCATGGGCCCCAAGGGCCGCAAGGGCCTCAAGGGCCTCAAGGGCCAAAAGGGCCTGCAGGTAGGGGAACAGTGCTCCGGGCACTCTTGCCCAGAGCACTGAGGTCAAGCCCGGGATGCCTGATGCCTGATGCCAGACGTCAGGACCGGATCCGCGGGCACACTGGCTAAGCGGGATGCGCCCACCCAGGGCTCTGGGCAGGTGCCGAGAGGGGCCCACAAAGGTGGGCCCTTGGGGCAAGTTCCTGCCCCCGCGGGCAGGGAGCAGGGCTGCGGGGCAAAGCTAGCCCCGCCGCACTGCTCCCCGGAACTATTGGGGAACGGGGGATACTTCTATCCCAGACCTTGGCAGAGCGCACTGCTTGGAGCAGCCAACTGCTCTGTGGCCTGAACCGCAATGCTTTGTTGCCAGGACGCGGCTTCGCAGCTCGAGACCAAAAACCGCCCCGCAGGCGGGTGCTAAGGCCCGCGTGCCCGCGTGCACAAACGGTCAAAAGCCGCGCGGCGCGTTTGCAACATTTTGTAACTTTCCCGGGAGGGCGGTCCCTCTGCCTCTCTGCAGCAAGATGGGGACAGGAGCCCGCGACCCTGAGGGATTGCCATTGCTTGCAAACAGGCTGCAGGTTTCCCGCCCTCCTACCCGGGCTGAGGGGGACAGCTAAGGGGAAATGAGCTGCTGCAGTCCCTTGAGGGCCCTGAGGCAGAGCCCTGGGGCTGTCACCTGTGGGCCCTGATCCTAGGAGGAGGGACTAGGGGAGCAGGGTTCCTGCCTGAGCCCCGCCTGGGACACTTGAAAGCTTTGGCATCAGGCTTTTGCATCTTCCTGCTCTTGCCCTGTGTGTGAACTGAAGAGGAGAGTAACCAGCATCAGATATCCAAACAGGCAGCATTCCTTTCCTCCTCTTGGATTCCTGAAGTTACACCCTGCCTGTTCCTGCCTTTTACCCTCAACCTGAAGAAAATCCCTTCGTGTGTTTCTGTAGCAAGCCTTCTAGTAACAGAATCTCTTGCGTTTTTCTCCCCTTCTCTAACCTTCCTGTTTATATTCATTTGGGCCCCAGAACTTACATCACAGGCACACAGTGCCTGGGGGGACCTTTTCTTTCGGCCCTGCAAGGTGTTCTCTCAGTCTCTTGTGGCTGGTGTGTTTTCCATGGGAAGTTTTAAATTGACATTTCCTTGTATTGGTCCTGTTATTTTCTCTGAGTATTTTGCAGAATTGTCTTTATGCTTGTGTATTGAGTTGAGCGTGTCTTGGGTGAGACTTTTCCCAGCATCTTAGATGTGTTTTCCATGAATTGTGACCTATCTCCTACTTTATCCTGTATCTCTCTTGTTCCTCAACTCCTCCTTTACCCACGAGGATGGTAAAATGTTAAAATGTTTTATGTTGCTTTGCATGTCTCTGAGACTCTTAACTGTTTTGTTCTTTTTTCTTTCTCTTTGCTTTTAGATTGGCATTTTAATGCCCCACAGAGTCTTGGACTCTTGTTCTTTTTCTGATGGAAGCTTATTTATTTCCATTAAATGAATTCCATTGATGTCATATTCCATTCATGTCAAGGGTATTGGCCTTTCCCTCTCTCTCTCTCTCTCTCTCTCTCTCTCTCTCTCTCTCTCTCTCTCTGTCTGTCTATGAGAATGGTTGTTTCTAGTGTTGTAGGGGAAACTGAGCCAACAGTAACCAGGAGCTCAGGAGAAGAAAGGAAATTTAGTGATCTCCAGGGGAGTCATCCTCAAAGTCTGAGGGGGTGATTGCATAGAGCTTGTCTTTTCTATAGAGTGGCAAACACAGGTTGCAGGGGACAGTTGCAAGCTTTTAGCTGAAGGTTGTGGTACAATGGCTATCTTGTGGTGAACATAGTTGTGTGTAGCAAAGTTGTCACCACGTTCCCAGGGCTTTCAGTTGGATGAAATCATATGATTTAGCTGAGTTCCGTGGCTGAGAACAGAATGGCTTTACCTTTGCTTAACAAAGTGTCTACAGTTTGATCAGGCTTTCTGCTTTCATGGTAGGTGTTTTCCATGATCCTTCCTTTAAGTGGGTTGTTTCAGGGCTGGATATTGCCCTTTCCCTTGAGGATTGGTCAGATGGTCTCAATTTTCTATATGTACTATTGCTTAGTTTTGGATAGTGCCCTGGACAGTTTGCTGGTTGATTTAGGAGACTCTGGTTCCTATCCTCAGGCAAGCAATGGTTTCTCTTGTTCTGTTGTTCTGCAAAGCTGTCAAGGCAGCAGGATCAGACCGCATCCTGCATTTGCTTTGCAGTGTCCAGGTTGTGCTCAGGCCACAGTGCCCCACCCCCAGCCCCGGTGGTCTACTGGATGCCTGGTGGTTGATAGCTCAGTCGCTTTCCAAAGCCTTTGCCTTGCTTCTTTGGAACTATTCTGTGCAAGCCGCTCAGTGTGAGTCTAGACCTTGTGCTGGCTCTTACACAGACTTCAGTGATTTCTTTCTGCAGCTCTCTCCTCTTTAAAATGCCATTTACATTTTCCTGCCACAAGAAGAGAACTTCCCCAGGGCAGGTCAACCCTCAGGCCATCAGCAACAGGAATAGAGTACAAACATAGTGGCAATTTTCCTCATTCTCTTCATACAGCAGAAGTCACTGCCTGTTCCTTTGTGGGCACAGGTCATCTGTTGGGGCTTTAGGTCCCTCTGCCTCTCTTGAGACTGCTGGACAACTTTGCAACCGGTGAGGAAAAAAACGCACAAAAGTGGGATGGGGATGACTCTTTAAGCCTCAGACGCACCCCCAGCCCCGAGGAGAAGTCCACACTTCTCTGGATACAAACAAGGATTGGGGTCCAGTATTTATTCTTTCAGTGATTACTGGAATTTACTTTCCCTAGACAAAGCTGGAAGACACAGAAGGAGAAACTCAACATGGAACAGCCCATTATGGGCTGTTGTTCTCCTTTGGATGCCAGTCCCCATTTGCCTGGTACTGCGTGCTTGCAGCATTTTGAAGTACAGTACATGCTTTCTGCCTGTGTCTGGTTCCAGTTGTCATTTGTGCAGGAGAGAAGTTATCTGGGACTTCCCATCTTTCCCTAACAAAGTTCTATGGCTACTAAATTAATTTGAAAGAAATGTACTTGCATTGTTACCTATGATAGAGTTCCCTTCTTTTTAGTGGCAGAATACTTTTGAATTGTAGGAATCGTATGGCCTGGTTTTTATCCATTGCAATAGTAATGTTTATATTGCTTCTACATCTTGTTTGTTATGGAAAGTGTTGCTGTGAACATGGGAGCGCAGATGGTTTCACTCCTGGTTTCTGTTGTTTTGCAGAAGAACCCAGAAAGGTGAAGTAGAGCAATCACAGAAGGACACATACTACACAATTTTCTTTATATGAGATGCTTAAAATATAGCAACCTTTCAAGGAGGCAGTAGAATGGTGATTTCCAGGGTCTGAGAATGAGGGGAATGTGCGTTGCTGGGCTTTTGGTATCGAAGGTGTATGAATTCTGTACTTCTGTTACAACAGTGTGCCTATAGGTAATAAAATTGTAATAATGTGTGTAGAAATTTTGTAGAAGTGCAGATTTCACATTGTCTATCATAATGAAAAGCAGCGTTAGGCAGTTTTGACTGACAACCAAAGATTTAAGGCTATAAAATTGAAGGATTGATTCACTGAATAAATATCAAAGTCTATAATCAGGCAATTTCCAAGAAATGAAAGCTAGAATTATTTCACAACAAAGGAATTTAATGAGTATCTCACAAAATATGTGCATATAAGTGCACATGAGAGATGTGTATATCTATTTTACTATAATCCTAGTATATTGAGATGTTCTAACTTTCCTATAAAACTAAAGTCGCCTGGTTTGTAATTTTGTTTATTGTTCTATAATTTTGTGAGTGGAGGTATTATTGGTAATAAACCAGGAAACAGTCGTGGTTTTTGATGCAGCCTTCCTTGCTATTTCCTTTAGGTGTTTCATTCCTTGACTTAAAGAAACTGAACAGTAGAAGAAAGAACACTGGGTGGCAGATGGGGCCACAATGAAGTACAGGAGGAGGTGTCCCTGCGAGGTCAGCATCAGCCCCAGATCACCCTACGGGCCGCTCTTGGTATGAAATCCGCTTGAATTAGTGATAGGTTTCACTCATGGGGAGCCTGCCAGACCTCACGTGGTGCCTGCCCAACCTGGTGCTGGACCCTAACATGACAGCGTGTCCCTCTAATATTGATTTCTGTGTTCTTCCTCCGAGCTCCAGTTGACCTTTTTGCTTTTCCTGCATGTGCCAGCATCTCCACCATCAGCTGTCAGTAGGTCTTTCTGCCCGCCTCTTCACACACCATCCCCTGTCAAACCTAATCAAAGCCCCATGGCTTCTTTGTCTGCCTCAGAGGGATCTTGCATTCTTTGGCAGCTCTCCCATGCCCACTGATAAGGCCTTTTTTCTTTTCTGCCTTTGTTTTTCTGCTGAGCCAAAAAGCCCCAACAATTAACATGCTCAGTTTTGGAAAAATAACAAGTCTCATCCAGTGCAGGTGAATGCAGTCAAGAACATTGTTTTCATTGCACAGCATTAGTGCTTAAGGAGTGTGAGCAAGGCAGAAGAATATGGTGCATGATATAGTGTCTCTCCCTCCTCTTGATATAGAAATAGAAATGAAAGGGCCAGGGATTTAGCTCAGTGGCATGAGTGCCTGCGTGGCAAGCATGAGGCTGTGAGTTCCATCTCCAGTACCAAAAATAAATACAATAAAAAGCAAGAAAGAAAAGGAATAGAAATTCAGTGAACGTGGCTTTTTTCACTTAGTAATGGACCTGTTTTTGGTAGTCATGGAGTTTTCAGTCCCTCCGTGCCTCCTTATCTTGATCTGTCCTGCCTCAGCTCAGCATGTAACACTTCATTTGTAGTAGTCACGAAGTAATGAGTGAAGGAGGTATAGAAATAAATGAAGGGGATCGTGTAACACATGGTCATTTCTTTCATTTTTTATTCATAGAAAGAATGAACTCTAAGACACAAGAAAGGTGATGTGAAACATTGTCTGACAATCAGTGAAAACAGTGGTGTGGATTCTTGGGTAAGTGCATTTTGAAGTTTCTAGAGGAAATAAAAACTACATTTTCGATTTCAATCAGTTAGAATGCTCTTGAATTTCTTTAAAAAATTCATTTAAAATGGGGACCATTTTGCCATATTTCTGTCTATGTACTAGAGTTAGTCATATACAAGCGGAATTAATGTTTCTTTTGTAATCTTATATGCAATAAGATTAACCAATATGATCATTTAACAGCATGGGGATTTGTTTGTTTGTTTGTTTTTTGGTGGTGGGGATCAAACTTCTGACCTCTTGCTTTCCAGGTAGGCACTTATGCCATGAGCTAAATCCAAAGCCCTGGTCTGGGGCCCTGGTCTGGGATTTAGCTCAGCAGTGTTAAGTGCCTGCCTGGAAAGTGTGAGGTCATGAGTTTGATTCCCAGTAGCCAAAAAAAAGTCAGCACACTTGAAAATCACTTCTTTAATCATTTTTAATTTGATTTTACATTTGTTGTGTGGGTGTGGGAGTAGGGAACCATTGGCTCAGTTGTGATCATGTGACATTCAGTGTCAGGTACTACTGGTATTGCAAGACATCACCTTTATAAAGTTAAATTTTATTAGAAATGCTTGCTTGTCTTGCAAAACACTTGCACAACAAGTTACTCACAATCTAAGCATTTTTAACTCAGATTGTTCACAAGCATCTGCAGTATCAGTTTTTTCTTTTCTTCTTCTTCCTCTTCTTATTCTTCTTACCCGATCTCCTCCTCCTTCTCTTTCTTTGTTTCCTCACCCCCCCCAGTGCTTCCCCCGCTTCTTCTTTATTTGGTTGCCAGTTTCTTAAATACACGCTATGTGTACCTTATTGTGGAGCTTTTTAAAAAATTGTTCACATACAAACTTGATACAAATGTAGTTTATAGAAAACCATCTGCAAACCTGAAATGAAAATAGTACACTTACTATACATATATTAAACTGATAAATTGTTAGGAATCATTTTAATTTAATGCATCATTTGACAGTGAAATAGTAGGTGGTTTAATTTTTTTTCATCTGGTACTTATTTTAGAGGTGCAGATTGGCACACAGCAAAGGACTTTAACACCACAGTAAAAGTAATAAAGTTTAACTAACTGTTAATTAGCACATGAACTATTGCATCGAAGAACGAGAAAGTACGGAAGTTACCAGATCGGAAGAGCTTGGATTCCTCTTCTAAATAACTATAAAACATTTGCTTACAATGCTGGCATATATGCAAATGTAAGTACATCTTCCAAGCCATCACTGCCAAATCCGAGTTCAGTTTTTAACTCTTGTTTTCCTGCTTTCACAGGGAGCCCTTTTAAAACCTCCAAAACTCTCATTAAGATCCTTTCAAAGGTGTCTCCTCCTACACTGTCCTTTGCTTATCACTGTTAAGCTTGAAGAAAAAACCCGGTCTCCATCCCAAGAATTTTTGAGTCTTCCAGCTTTGCCCTGGAGGAGCAGAGAAGGGCGCTCAGCTAGGGATGAATCATTCCAGGTAGTTCAAGCTATGAACGGGGCGCAGCCTCCCGCCCCTCCCTGACATCTCCCTGAATGTTCTGTCCCACCCTGGGCAGTTGTGCTAGTTCTCATCCTGGAGAATCAGGTGGTGCTGCTGCCCCTGGTGGTGATGGAAGGTTAAGTGTATAAACAGTTCAAACAGCCATTTGTTGTTCTTCCTTTCCTGTGTACAGAAGAAGATTGCACCCAGGGGCGACTACCACTGAAGTACATCCCCCACTCCTTTTTCTTTTTATTTAACTTTCCCAGAGGAGCCTGAACTTGTGATCCTCAAGGCTTAACTTCCTTAGTGCTGGGATTACAGGTGCACAGCACACCTCAAGTAAAGGGCTTATTTTGGCTCACTGTTGTGGAGGTTACAGTCTGTGACTGCTTGACCCCAGGGCTTTTGGGCCAATGTTGAAGCCCCACATGATGGGAGGGTGTGACATGAGAATCACAAGTTCAAGGCCAGGCTGGTGGACTTCATGACTTTGTGGAACCCTGTCTCAAACTCCAAATAAAAAAAGGCTGGGGATGTAGTTCAGTGGAAAGCCCCTCAGTTCAATACCCTGTACCTCAATCCATCAACTAAACAACTATTAAAAAAGACTTCAGTGTCGGTGTCACTCCCGGCCGGCAGGAAGGACACACAACAAAGTCTGGCAGTGGACAACCTTTTCTTTTATTTTCCTTCTCCGTACAGCCTGCCCCGGGAATCCTCCCGGCCGAAGCCTCTGTTGGTCCGCTCCCCGCGGCTCCTTGCGTGCTTCTCCCTACAGTCTGTCCCGAAGCCTCTACCGGTCCACTCTCCGCAGCTCCTTGCGTGCTTCTTCCTACAGTCTGTCCCAAAGCCTCTACCGGTCCGCTCTCCGCGGCTCCTTGCGTGCTTCTTCCTACAGTCTGTCCCGAAGCCTCTACCGGTCCGCTCTCCGCGGCTCCTTGCGTGCTTCTTCTGCTTCTTTTTTCATGGTGGGAGAGGCACTCACTTTTATAGGGTTACAGTGGCCAATCAGTTCAAAGCGCGCGATGCGGGCTGATTGGCTAACATCAGTTGTTGCTAGGCAGACTATCTTACAGGGCGGGTTGTGAAGCAGGAGATCTTACAGGGCGGATTGTTTACCAAGCAGGAAGCAGGAGATCTTACAGGGCGGGTTGTTTACCAAGCAGGAAGCAGGAGATCTTACAGGGCAGGTTGTTTACCAAGCAGGAAGCAGGAGATAAGCGCCATCTTAGCACACTCGATGGGAGGGGTAATCTAGCTCAGGCTTTGCTCTTTCTTACAGGCCTCATGTCCGCCAAGTAAGGCGACCGGGCCTGGCCGCGGCTCCCAACATCTCCCCCTTTTTTATTTTTTATGAATGTGCGCATCGTAGCCCTTCCTGGACTGGGTGCAGAGGCTTATGCCCTATGCGTAGGCCCACCGTAGGTCCTTGGCTTAGACCCTGGTCGGCCATCCCATGGTCTGCCAAGGCCCTGAGGCCCTCGTCCTTTTTCTAGGGCCAGGCACAAACTGGACGGAACCTGGATGCACACAAGCTTGCACTCATTTCCTCTCCGTAAAGAAATCCCCTCGGAGAGAAATTTAGACCTGGGCAGCATCTAACAGTCCAGCGGCTTACATGCAGGATGGGGTAGGGCCTGGCTTAGGTTGAGTCGCACCGGGGGAGTACGCTCTTACCCGTCATTGACTCTCCTACCCAGCTATGTCATAATTTTTTAGAGGAGGAGTGTGGGAAGCTCACCGCCCCTAGACTCGGTCGTAGGCTAGGCGAGCGAGCCATGCATATGCCTGAGGATCTTTTTGTCCATTTTGGGCTACCACTATTTCTATTCATCTTGTTGGTTGGTCTGTGATGGATCTCCGGTAGGGCAGGTCTGATCTTCAGTCGAGGGCTTTGTTGCCCGTGTCAGTCTCTCCGGTACCCACAGTGGTTCTCGTCCCGGTTCCTGTGGGAAAACACAAACCGCGCCTCGGCTCCAGCTGATTACCGGATCCGGGCCCATCCATTGTCCTGTTAGGACATCTTTCCATTTAACCCACCCTTTATGGTTGGGGGAAGGGTTGCAGTGCTCCATAGCTGGGGAGCAATTATCATTATTTAAATTTAAAAAATTGTGTGTGAATAGTGCCATGGATAATCGTGCCTTTGGGGCCAGGCCTTGGCCTACTCCCCCTTTTTGTTTTTGTAAAATTTCTTTGAGGCTTCTATGAGCCCTCTCAATGATTCCTTGACCTTGGGGATTGTATGGGATACCATGTTTTAATTGTCTGCCATTGATCTTAAGCAAAAGCATGGGCCTCTTGTCAAGAGTCATGTGGAGTCCCTCAAAAATCTCCCCGGAGGAGCCAAAGCCTTGATCTCCTCTGGTCTTTTGCTTAGACTGGAACCTCTTATGGAGGCTGGGGAGCAGCAGGAGCTGCGCCATCCTGTCCCCTTCACTGATTACCATAGTACCTACAAGAGTTTGGACCATAATTTTAACATTGCCTGTATAATCTGAGTCTATGACCCCAGGGATCACCGTAAGACCCCGGAGGGCTGTAGAGGACCTTCCAATTACCAAGCCAACCGTGTCTTTAGGCAGCGGCCCCTTAAATGTGGTCTCAACCACCTGAACACCCATATCGGGCGTCAATATGAGTCTGGAGGCGACACAGAGGTCCACGCCTGCTGACCCAGGGGTAGCCCTTGTGGAAGGCTGCCACCCTGTGTTGTCCTGTCTCGGGGGTGGGGGCCCGCCGGCGAGGAGGGCCCCCTCTGGCCGTTTTTTGGCTCGTTAACATCTCGGCCACAAATACGATTTCCCTGAGCGTCATAAACTGACCTGCAATCCTCTGCCTTATGTGGACCCTTTCTGCATCGCCCACAGACGTTATACGATCCTTCATTTTTAAGGCGAGGCTTGGCGTCTGCACTATTTGGGCAGTTGCGTTTAATGTGTCCTGGGTCCCCGCAGCTGAAGCACCCCTTGGCTTTATGTTCCTCTCTAGGCCCGCGAGGTCCCCTTTGTTGCACTGCCGCAGCCAGAAGAGCTGCAACTCCCGAATTAGAAAGCGGCCCCCCTATTTCTCTGCATATTCTGATCCAGGCGTTAAGATCCTTATTCTTATGTGGGGCTATTGCTGCCTTACATTCCTTCGTGCATTGTTCGAAAATCAACTGCCTAACCAGCGGTTGAGCCACTTCCCTATCGGAAAAGATCTTATCGGCGGCATCTTGCATCTGAGCCACAAAATCAACGAATGGCTCTGTTGTGCCCTGGACTATTTTAGAAAGGCACAAGGATGCCGTTCCGGCACCACTCACCTGCTTCCAGGCGCGAAGCCCAATGGTATTGATCTGCTCATAAACTGCACCAGGGAACTGAGTCTGATCATCAGCGTGTTGGCCTTCCCCCATAAGCATGTCTCTATTCCATCCCTGGTTCCCTCGGTTAGCGTTTCTTTCCGCCTGTTCGGCAGCGAACTTGGCGTACCAGGCTCGCCAATCCAGGTAACTACCCGAGGGCAGACACGCCTTTGCCAGCTGAGTCCAGTCTGCGGGGGTGAGGGGCCCAGAAGACAGGTTCTCCAGCATGGCAATGGTGTAAGGCGCAGTCGGCCCAAAGGTTGTAACTGCATTTTTAAGTTCTCTAATCTGCTTTATTTCAAAGGGTTCCCACACATTACGTCCCTGACCCATGGCCATCTGTACAGGATATATCCCATAGGGGCCGCTATCTATCCCTGGGAACGGGTGGTCTTCATTAGACACACGACCCCCACGCCACAGCTGTTTGTGGAAATAACGTCCCGCCGGTGGCGGAGCATCGTAAGATGGCGGCCGTGGCTGAACAGAAAATGGCGGCCTGTGCGTTATTTCCTGTACTGACGGAAGAGGGGGGAGTTCCCATGCGGCGGCCTCGCGGCGAGGGACCGCTTCCGGGAACGAGTTCCAGGGCGGAGCGGAAGGTTCTGTCTCCCTCCCCTGCCAGGGGGCGCTCAGAAGCTCTCTGCTTTTTCGTAAGCCTAGCTGAGCGGAGCGCAATTCGCGGCGCAACGCAGCGAAAGAGCCTTGCGTCTCCCCATCAAGCGACTTAGGCCCCTGACAGCTGGTCTCTTGGGCCTCCTCACCATTCAACCTTCCCTCGTCCTCGGAGTCAGACGACTCCGAGGCTTGAGCCCCGTCCTCCTCCTTAGCATCTTTGTTCCCCTTGACGGACCCCTCTCGGGAGCTCCCTGACTGGGCCTGCTCAAATACCCTGCGTACTTTTGTAAGCTCTTGAGAGCTTTCCCCGCAACCACCCTCACTCTTAGTGCCGCTACCTAGCATGTTTCCCATTTTTTAATATGTTACTCACCGCATGAGGCCCAAGGAATCCGCCACTTACGCGTGAGCCTGAGAGGAGTCTACAAACCCTGTAGGTGCGCGCCACCCAGGGCCCAGGTTTATCCTCTACTCACCTGTCTTGCAGCTCTGCGTTGGAGCGTTGTCCACTGCCACGTCTCGGGGGTGATCAGTCCCCGTACGGGCCACCAGATGTCGGTGTCACTCCCGGCCGGCAGGAAGGACACACAACAAAGTCTGGCAGTGGACAACCTTTTCTTTTATTTTCCTTCTCCGTACAGCCTGCCCCGGGAATCCTCCCGGCCGAAGCCTCTGTTGGTCCGTTCCCCGCGGCTCCTTGCGTGCTTCTCCCTACAGTCTGTCCCGAAGCCTCTACCGGTCCGCTCTCCGCGGCTCCTTGCGTGCTTCTTCTGCTTCTTTTTTCGTGGTGGGAGAGGCACTCACTTTTATAGGGTTACAGTGGCCAATCAGTTCAAAGCGCGCGATGCGGGCTGATTGGCTAACATCAGTTGTTGCTAGGCAGACTATCTTACAGGGCGGGTTGTGAAGCAGGAGATCTTACAGGGCGGGTTGTTTACCAAGCAGGAAGCAGGAGATCTTACAGGGCGGGTTGTTTACCAAGCAGGAAGCAGGAGATAAGCGCCATCTTAGCACACTCGATGGGAGGGGTAATCTAGCTCAGGCTTTGCTCTTTCCTACAGGCCTCACGTCCGCCAAGTAAGGCGACCGGGCTCGGCCGCGGCTCCCAACACTTCAGGAGGAATATTTTAGTGACAGAAGGCTTCTGTCTTTTAACTGTCTCAGTGCCAATACCATGGTTATGGTATTATGCTGTAGTTGTTGAAAATGTTACCACTTAGTGAATGCCACATGCAAAAGGATCCAGCAGTTTGTTTCTTACAACTCCATGTGAACCTACAATAACCTCAAAATAAAAGTGATTCCTGAAAGAATGCTCATTGTTCACCTTTTGGGGTCTAGAAGCTATCAGCTGGGCAAATCTGCAAACGCTGACTTTTTGGCTGCCACCAGTTCCTTATACATCTTGCTTGCAAAATGACCAGTTGTCTCAAGTTGATGTCTTTAGCAGCACCCTGGCTACTAGCCATTCTTCTTCTTCTTCTTCTTCTTCTTCTTCTTCTTCTTCTTCTTCTTCTTCTTCTTCTTCTTCTTCTTCTCCTTCTCCCTCTCCCTCTCCCCCTCCCCCTCCCCCTCCCCCTCCCCCTCCCCCTCCCCCTCTTCTTCTTCTTCTTCTTCTTCTTCTTCTTCTTCTTCTTCTTCTTCTTCTTCTTCTTCTTCTTTCTTCTTCTTCTTTTTCTGTTGATCCCAGTGTCAAACTCAGGACCTATGTGCTTGTCAGGCAGGTGCCTACACTGCTGAGCTAAATCCCTGGCTCAAAGAGCTAGTATTTCTAAGGCCAACACACCTTGCTTTTCCATTCTGCTAACACGGAACTGCTGACCAAGTGTCACACATATCAGAGCCGCCCAAGTTAGCACAACAGATAGTTTGCCCTGTGTTGTGTGAATCTGTGTGCTTGCCAGTTTGGCAGGTGAAAAGTGTTAAGGTATAGTTTACATTTCTCTTAGAGTAATGCAGGTTAAATGTCTTTTAATATCTTCAGTTTGTACTTTTTCTGTGAACTTTGCTTATGTGCTTTGCTTGTGTAATAATGGTATCCGACTAATTTTAGAATACATGCTGCTTAGAGAAGTTTTGAACACTTACAAAGCTTGTGCTCTTCTCTACAGACATACATACTGAATCAGAGTAGTCCTTGTGATCTGTGAACTTTTGAGTTCTCTCCAAATTGAAGCAGAGGCAGCAGTTATCAGGAACAACGACTTAAGAGAAATACGTACTAAATCAGACAGCCAGTATTTGGGCTCAGTAATATGTTTCTAAGATGCTCGCAAGATTTGGAAACCGCCGAGCAAATCGGCTGAAATCAAGCAATGCCAATCAGCGAGAGAATACGATGAGGCCCCTGCTAAACCAAAGTGGCCATTCTTTTTCTGACCTCGCAGGCATCCAGAGGCTTATCAAAGACTGTGCATTTCAGGAAATCACAGAAGCTTGTTTTAGTCATTTGGCTCCAGACTAAAATTTGAACTATACTGAAATCAGATATTTGGGTGTCTGGGACTAGCTACTTAGTCCTAGCCAACAGGTAAGCTCAACCAAGCACAGTGGAGCCAGGATGGGAACTCCTCTGGTGCAAAACACAATAGGAAGCACAAGATCCAGTTCCCAGGCTGGAGAGGGCGGGGCCCTTCAGACCCACCCTGAGTGGGCGGTGACCACAGGCGGCTCCCTGCCTCTGTGACGTCAGGGAAGTCCCGCCCACAGCTGTCAGCCACTGTCCATACCAAGTTGTGTGCTGGCCAGGAAGTTGCTCCTTTCTGGGGTCATGATGGGCAGCAAGATGGCGTCTGCCACCAGGTTGCCCAGGTAAAGGGCTTCCATTGCTTTTCCACACGCGGGGATGGTGCAGCCATAGCAAAGGTTTAGGGCGGAGAGGCCTTGTCATAGGATGCACAGTGACACTGCCCATGCTGATGCATAGGCATATATGAAGATGGGACATGAAGCCCGTGGCATTGGGCAGTAGGGCAGCACCTCGTGCTTTGCAGGGGCGAGGCATGTCGGCAGGTGGCTAGCTCCCTGCTGACCCCAGGGTCAGGGCTTCTCTGCAAGCATCTCAGCCTTCATGGTCTGCTGGCTAGGCTGCCCTCAGGAGCTGGGCCAATGGAATGCAGCAAATCATCATGGAAATTGCACACCATGACCAACTCTGATTCATCCCAGGATGAATGCAGGGATGGTTCAACATAGGCAAAGCAGAAAATATACTACTGCACGTTAACAAAACTCAGGACAGACACCACATGCTTATCTCAGTGGATGCAGAAAGAGCATTTGGTAAAGTCCAACACACATTCATGATTAAAAAAAAATCCTACAGAAAATTGGAATAGGTAGATGGTCTTTACCTCAATCAGATAAAAAGTCTTCTGTGACAGACCAACAGCCCACATCATACTAATTGGAAAAAAACTGAAAGCTTTCAACCTAAAGTTAGGGACGAGGTGAAGATATCTACTGTCACTACTTCTGTTCCATATAGTTCTGGAAACAGCCAGAGCAATTATACAAGAGAAAGAAATAAAAGGAGGACTAAGGAAGGAAGAAGTGAAATTATTATTTGGAGACCACAAGACACTCTACTTAGAAGACCCCCAAAATTCCACAAAACACTTCCAGATTTAGTAAACAAATTCTGAGGTGTAGCTGGATACAAAGTCAACGATCAAAAGTCAGTAGACTTCTTGTACACGAATAACAAACTCAGTGAGAGAGAAACCAGGGAAACAACACTTTTCACAATAGTATCCAAAAAACTGAGATTTTTAGGAATCCTTCTAACAAAGGTAGTGAAAGATCTATACAGTATAAGTTACAGGATTTTGAAAAAGGAGTTTAAAGATGATACTGGAAAATGGAATGATACCCTTGCTTATGGATAGGAAGGACCAACACTGTGTAAGTGTCCATTTTCCCAAAACTGTTGTATAGGTTTAATACAATCCTGATCAAAATACCATTAGTGTACCTCAGAGGTCTAGAGAAAACATTCCTAAAATTCATCTGGAACCAGAAGAGACCTAGAATCCTGAGCAACAAAGGCAAAGCAAGAGACCTTACAATCCCTGACTTGAAATTATACTACAAAGCTACAGTGATGAAATTAGCATGGTACTGGCAAACAGACTTGAGGATCATTGGAACAGAAAAGATGCAGACACAACCTACACTCAGCCACACTCTCACTGAGAAAGGAGCCAAAGATGTTCAGTGAAAGAAATCCTCTTTAATAAATGGTGCTGAAAAAACTTTTTTCCATATGCTGAATACTAAAACTAAAAACCAACCCCTGGCTATCGCCATGCACTAAAGTACAAATAAGATTTTTTTTTTGGTGCCAGGGATCCAACTCATGGCCTTGCAATTCGAAGGCAGGTGCTTGTGCCTCTGAGCTAAATCCCTGGCACAAATGGATCAAAGATCTAAATATTAAAAGAGAAATATGAAATCTGCTAGAAATTAGGTGGAAATCTTGAAGACATGGCAGTAGACAAAGGTTTCATGAACAAGAACAAACTACATAGGAAGTACTTCAAGGATCAACTGGAATTTCATCTTATTACAAAGTTTTTTTATTTACAGCAAAATAAGTCACCCACAGAGTGAAAAGAAAACTCACATATTGGGAAAAACTAGCCAACTGTTCCTCAGACAAAGGACTTGTATCTGGAACATATAAAGAACTGAAAAACATCAGGTCCTGGGATTCTGCCTTTCCCCACAAACAATGGCTATCATCAAAAATCACTGAATAATCAGTACTGGCGGGGTTGTGAGGCAGAACATCCTTTGCCAACCTTCGTAGGCATGTAGATAGGTACAAGCACTGTGGAAATTAGTGTGGAGGCTCCTCCAAAAACTAGGACTAGAGGTCCCATTCAACCAAGTTATTGCCCTTCGGGGTGTTTTCCCAGAAGAATTGAAAACATCATACCACAATGACATATGTTCATCCATGTTTATAGCAGCACAATTTGTAATAGATCTTTGAAATTACTCAAATGCCCATCAACTGCAAAAAGCATAAAAACGACATAATGTATTTTCTGTTTCTTTTTCATAGTGAGGATCGAGCTCACAACCTCATGTTTGCCAAGCAGGCAATTGTGCTGCTGAGCTAAGTACCTGGCCCTAGGGTATGGTATTTTAATACAAGATAGCATTCCTCAGCTATAAAGATGGATCAATTCAAGGCTTTTACAGGTAAATGATGCAACTAGAGTTTATACTTACAAGTGAAATAAAACAGACCAATATGGGTAAACAACATGTTGTCTCCCTAGTGTAAGAAACTGAAAGAGTAAATAAGATCCAAAAGTTATAACGCATATTCTGCAAGAGAATGAAACTGCTGAAGAGGAAAGAAATGGGACAGGGAAAAGGAGAAAAGAAGGAAGGAAAAAGTTACATCTATACATATGTGTGTACACACACAGATACCTAAGACAGTTCTACTACTAATGCTCATAGGTCATCGAAAGGAACATTAACTGCTTCTATTGGAGTAGTCCTGCATCTGGTAATCACAGCAACTGTTTTGAAGACCACAATATGCAATATAATATTAAGCATTGTTAATTTCCTATCTTGTTTTGAAGTTCTGTATTTTTTATGAATTTTTAAAATTCTCTTTAAAATTGAAGATGGTTGAAAGTGTTTGTCAGTATTTTCATTAAAATTCAGGTTATCTGTCCCATTTATAATAAAGTAGGACCTGGCTAGAGCGAGGTCCTGAGTTCAACCCCAGCACCCTCCACAAATGATGAATCAAAATTGAGGTCCATGGAGGCTAAACAACCTGCCCAGTAACCCCTGTCAAGTAACTGCTAGAGGGAAAAGCAACAGGACAACAGAGACAGCAAGCCCGTCCCATGACAACGTGGAACACTCACATCCTGTTCAGTCAGGTAAAAACATCCTGCATAAAAAAAAAAAAAAAAAAACCCGCATGTGTATCCATATTATTTTTCAAACTGCAAAGGGCCATGATTGTAATTTAGTAATACATTTGTTTTTAAAGTTTGCCCAAATTATTTAACTTTTTATACCTTTTTTTCCCATTAGGAAAACTGCTAACAATGTAAAACATATGCAGGCTGATGTAGTCCTGCATCTATTTCAGGCAGGATGGTGTGGTGTGGTGTAACAGAATCTCAGGCAGCCAGAACAGTGTGGCTTAATTCTGATTCTCCAGCTGAGCTTCTGAAATGGAACTGGAGTTTGACACCTAAGAGCCCACAGCGTCCTGGCACCTGCAGCTGAGCCTTTGAAAAAGTCCAGAGCGGTAGACCCAGGAGATAGCTCAGCAGCACAAGTGCCTGCCACGCAAGAGCAAGGTCCTGAGTTCAACTTCTGGTACAAAGATTAAAAAAAACAAAATACAGGTCCAGAGTGGACCAGCAGGAGAATGTGTGTAAGCAATTCCCACTGCCCCAAAGGAAGCCAGAGTCCTTGGGTCCAAGACTTTTTGGTATAGAAGATAAACTCAGGGCCTTTGCACTGAGTCACAGCCCTACCCCTTTTTTACTTTGAGACAGGGCATTGCTAAGTCAGTTCAGCAACAGGTTATTGCTAAATTGCTCAAACTGCTCCAACATGTGATCCTCTGCCTGACCCTTCTTTACAGGGGCCATAAAGCCATTTAGGTCTTATAGTCTTTCACATATTTATAGTAAGAAGTTCATGTTAATTAAATTTCAGATGAATTCAACATTAAAACAGAATACTTTATTTACATGTCAGAGCGATCTTACATTATACAGCCCATTAATTAACAAAGCCTACCTAGGGTGGAAGCATAGGACCTAAGAGTTGAAGAGACTGTGTTTCCAATCTGCAGTTTTGCCATTTGCTAGTACAACAATGGACCACTTAATCTATCAAATCATTAGTTTCCTATCTGTAAAACGAGAATAAGAAGGGGCTGGGGATTTAGCTCAGCGGCATCAGCGCCTGCCTTGCAAGCAGGCAGTCGTGAGGTCAATCCCCGGTACCGATAAAAAGGAAAAAGACAAAAAAAAAAAAAAAAAAAAAAAACCGAGAAAAAGAAATGGTTACATGTCAAGAGTATTCCAAGAATTAAATGAGGTTCCAAGTGTATATGTGTGAGTATATATGTACAATATTACTATTTATTATAAATACTAAAATGCATTTTGAAAAATACAAAGTACATACAACAAATTATTTCTGGGTGGCAGGTCCATGCATTATACTTTTCTGTATTTCTTTACATTTTTCAAAATAAAATAGTACAGATCCTACTTTTTCTTTTTTTTTTTTTATCGGTACTGGGGATCAAACTCATGACCTCGCGCTTGCAAGGCAGGCGCTTATGCTGCTGAGCTAAATCTCCAGCTCCTGATCCCAGTTTTATAATACAAAATTATGAATTAGGGCATCACTTTACTCAGGGAAATTTTTAGAAGATGGACCAAATGTTTTCATAAGAAATTCTTCAGAACAGTAATTCATGGTAGAAAATAGAATGGAGACACATGAACCACAAATGACAGATGGGAGAGAATCTAATCTCTGAAGCTGAATCTCATTCTCTTATTTTCCAGACTAGGAAACTAATTTGAGGCATAGCTTTACAAAGTTACATCCAGTGAGTTAATGTCAACACCAACAGAAATGCCTTGATCCTGGCTCCTAAAGTAATCTTTAGTAATAAGTACCACATCTAAAATGTAGTTTCTCACTTTTTAAATTTCAAAATCCAATTTTATATCACAAGTTTACAGTCATATGACTCTATTTCCTTCTCTGCATTCGGCAGAATATCTGTTTTGTGAGAACACTGACAAACTTCCAAGAACAAGGAGTTAAAAACTTTAACGTAATGAAGTTAACTTAATGAAGACATTTCAAGAGTCTTTCCATTTGATATAAATCTAAAAGCTATGAAAATATACTTTGCACTATGTATCACATGTAGAAAACTAAGAATTTCTTCAATTTGAAGAAATGAATCAGTGTTACATGGGAACATTATTTAAAAGTTGATCTTTGGACAGCCAGGCATTGTGGTGTAGGCCAGTAATCTCAGTACTTTTGAGGCTGAGGCAGGAGGACTTCTGTAGAGTTTGAGGCCAGCACAGGCTACATAGTGAGTTCAAGGCCAACCTGAACTACACAGTGACACCTTGTATCAAAAAATAAAGTTTATCTTTGGAAAATAATTATATTTTCAAATGTTTGAATTACACACTAAAGATTAAAGATTATTTTTTAAAAGATTCTTAAAGTCTTAATCAGAAATTAGATGGACACAACTACCGTGGTTACTGCAGAATTATCAACTAATTTTACTTTAGTAATAAAACTTTGACTTTAAAAAAACTTTTCACTTTTCAAAAAAGAATGAAAGCCAGGCATGGTGGTACACACTAGTAATCTCAGCACTTAGGAGGCTGAGGCAGGAGTATCATTTCAAGTTCCAGACCAGCCTGGGCTACAAAATGAGCTCAAAGCCAGGCTGAACAGCATAGCAAGACTGTTTCAAAAAGATAAAAAAAAAAAAAACCAAAGATGGAGCACCATTTAAAATAATTTGATGTTTTATGAGATAGCATTCATACATCCACTTTCTTAAAATGAAAGGATTGGGAAATTAGTTTGAAATAGAGACAACTCCTGAGTATAGTATTACACAGCTTAATATTAATGATGTTAAGTAGATATAGTATACAGAAAAAATACCAGGCTTAATATTTACAAAACATTTATAAAACTTGAACATTCCTGGAAGATATAATTCAAGTCATAATTAAAAGATAAATTTAATCAGATACTGATATAGTGAAAATGTTGAGTTGATTATAAAAAACACATGTAAACCATAAAAGATAAAAAGTATTTAAAAATACACAAAACTGTAACCACTAGATTTAAACTTAGATTTTCAAAAATTAAATATTTATAGTCTTTAAATTTCACACATCTAATTTTTACATGATCTCAACTTTACATGATCTTAATTATCCATTGTAACATAAAACAAAAATCCTTTTTTAACCATTTAAATATAGTAACAAATACAGGGGCTGGTAGAACTCAGTATACACAGTAGCTAAAATATGAGAAGCAGAAACCTTATTAGAAGAGTTATAAAACAGACTTAACCAAAACTGCATGCTTGAAACAAGTAGTTTCATTTCAGAGACTTATAGCAAGGACCAAGGTTCCTTATCTGAAAAGAAATTGTAAGTAAGTCATCTGAAGGGTTGTTAGTAGGGTTAGTGAGACTGCTTATGTGATAAGAAGTACTTAGGTATCCACTGTCTAGGGTGTGAAGGTTTAAACCCCGGAGCAGTATTTTGTTCTTTCTTTTTCTCCTAGTGTGGGGGACTGACCTCAGAGCCTTCACACTAAGGTACATCCCCAGCTTTGTAATTTCAAGGCCAACCTGAGCTACGTAGTGAGTTCCAGGCCAACCCAGAATACACAGTAAGACCTTGTCTCAGACAGATGGACAGACAAACAAACGAACATGAAACAGGTCTCACTAAGTTGCTGAGTTGGCCAGGCTGGGCTTGAACCTGCAGTCCTCTTGCTTCAGCCTCCTAGAGTGCAAGGATTACAAATAGTACAGCATAAAGCCTGGCCCAGTATTTGTTAACACAGAAACCAATGTTTAAACTGTAAAATTTTTAATTGGAGTGTTCAGCCCAAGTGATTATCAAAAGTTATTTATAAAATGGTTCAATACTGATGATACGAAACTGATGATACAAATGCTACCAAAACTCTGTAATGATAACAAAGTTTTGGCTTCCTGGTCCAGTCGTTTGTCTTCTGAGAACACTACAGAGACACCTTCATTTTTCCAGCAACGTGGCATCTGCCCTCTATGTTTTCTGTCTGTCATAATCCCCAACCATCTTCTTGATGTGTGATAGTTTGCTCTTCAGCTGCTTGCAGTAATTTCTCTTACTTCTGTAATCTGCTGACTAAAGAGGGGGGAAAATGAATCACATGAACAAAACCAAATTAAAATAGTTCTGCTAAGAAGGCAAGGGTGAATTTATTTTATTTAATTTATTTATTTGACACAAGGTCTCACTAGGCAGTTCAGGCTGGCCTTGAACTCATTTTGTAGCCCAGACTGGTCTCAAACTTGCAATGATCCTCCTGCCTCAGCCTCCTGAGTGCTGGATTACAGGCGTGTGCCACCATGCCCAGCTTGCAAAGGCGAATTTAAAAAGGGAAGATTAGTCATACAGAATTGCTTAGCATAAATGAACAAACACTAAGACATCTGGCTGTACCACCAACCACACAGACAGCTAACTCTGCTCAATCTTATCTTCTAAAAAGGATGCATTCATTTCTAAAACTTCGCTACATTACCAAGACAACTTACTGGCCTTTTGGTAACAAATCATCTTTAAAATATCAATAAAATAGAAACCATGGTACGAGTCAATGGGGGAAGCTGGATGTGTTGGTGCACTCCTGTAATCCCAGAACTCTGGAGGCTGAGGCAGGAGGATTGCCATGAGTTTGAGACCAGCCTGGGGTAAAAAGGGAGCTCAAGAGCAGATGTTCTACATAGTGAGACCCTATTTCAAAAAGATAAAGACGTCAATGGGGGAAGGAAGTGAGTAGGGGATAAGGGAAACTGAAAATTTTACATATGCCTCTTTAAAACTTTTATTTAAAATCACGATGGTTTTTAGCCAGGTGTGGTGCCTCATGCCTATAATCCCATCATTCAGGAGGCTGAGGTGGGAGAATCACTGCAAGTTCAAGGTCAATGTAGGCTATATAATAAGTTGAAGGCCAGCCTAAACTACATAGCGAAACCCTGTCTCAAAAAGACAAATCGAACAAACAAAATTATGGTTCTTAATTCATAAAAACTTTAATATAAAAATCTTTTAAAAATATTTTAGGTCAATGATGACCCATTAACATAAGTATTACAAAAACACAGAGGAACAGGCGCTACCTACACTGAGGGCATGTGAACTGGCCCAGCCTGGGGATGCTGCCTGGCAGAATGTCATGAGCCAGGCACACATACAACCGATGAACCTACTACCCTACTAGGAAGGATATACCTATCAAGTGTGTGCATGTTTACAAAAATATGTGATGCTGGATTATGTGCAAAGGTCAAAAATTGAGGGCTCAAACATCCACTGGCAATAGAACAGTTGAGTAAGTTAAGTCATAAAACACAGCACTTGACACCAATAAAAATAAATGAGCCACAACTAACACCATAACTGGATCTTACAAACAACGCTGAGCAAAAACAGCCACACACGAAATACATGCTATGTGATTCCACAGAAATGAAGTTCAAGATGAGCAAAAGCAATCTGATGTGAAGAGAAAACGCTAAGAACTGAAGGGAGTAAAAGAATGGGGGTTGCCAGGACACAAGGAAACTGACTTATTGGTATGGGTACCAGGATGCAGGTGTGTGGTCCTGTTGTGAAAATGTACCAAGTGAGGGGCTGGGGATTTAGCTCAGTGGCATAAGCACCTGCCTTGCAAGCAGGTGGTCATGAGTTCGATCCCCAGTACCAATAAAAAGATAAAAAAAAAAAAGATAAAAAGAAAATGTACCAAGTGTACTATTTCATTTGTGCACTTTACTGAATGTTTAATTTAAAAAAGAAAATACATTTTTCCCTGTTTTCATTCTTTTTCCGGTACCTGGGATTGAACTCCTGACCTAACACTTGCCAGGCAGGCACTTATGCCACTGAGCTAAATCCCCAGCCACCATTTTTTTCTTTTTTCTAAATCTACTTTATTTCAAGCAGAAAAAGAAGAAGAAGAAAATAAGAAAATACTTTTTAGCCAGGTATGGTGGTACAGGCCTGTAATCCCAACACTTGGCAGCCAGGGGCAGAAGGACCACCATGAGTTCAAGGCCAGCCTGGGCTACATGATAAATTCAAAACCTGCCTGAACCGTACAGTGAGACCCTGCCTCCAAAACAAAACAAAATAAAAACCAAACAAACAAACAAAACTACTATAATAAAAATTATCTTTTGGAAAATTAGCATAGGTTGTAGCTATGAAAATGTGAAATTAAAGTTTCAATCAGTCATAGTGTTTATACTCAAATTATAGGACCTTTTATCTATAATCAGTGTATGTGTGATAAAGTATTCATAGTCATCCTAAAGGTTAAATTAAAAAACACAGAAAAGTTCTTCCTGAGAGAATCTTACAGTTCACCATACTCACTCTCTTAACTTGTTTCAGTCTGTTGTATTCATCTGCAGCGGCCTATCAATGAGAAACACAAGGGAACATATTAGTGGAGCACTGAGAATAACATTGGTTTGGTTTGGTTTGGTTTAGTTTGGTTTTTGAGACAAGATCTTGGTATGTAATTCATGGTGGCCTTGACCTCACTAGGTAGCCCAAACTAGTCTGAAGCTCACAGACCCTTCTGCCTCAGTCTCTGAAGTGCTAGAAATATAGCAGGCGTCACCATGCTAACATTTTTTTTTCTTTTTGGTGGTACCAGGGATTGAACTCATGACCTTAACTTTGCAAGGCAAGCACTTACACAACTGAGCTAAATCCCTGGTTTCATTTTTTTTTAATGCTAACATTCTTGATGTTATATTTTGGAGGCAAAAATGACAGCTTCTGGTATAAACACAAGAAACTAAAACAAGGGTCGGGGATTTAGCTCAGTGGCTCAAGCGCTTGCCTGGTTAAAAGCAAGGTCGTGAGTTCAATCCCCAGCACCAAAAAGAAAAAACCTAAAACAAAGTCATAAAGCTCTTAAAACTCTTATGTCCACCTGAGTGGCCTGAAGAAGTCCAACACAGAGCCACTTCGTCAGGTGACTATTCTGCTGCTTCTTATCTCACCCTCATGCCAGGCCTGATGAACACTGACATCATAAGTCTTTACTAAGGCACAGAAATGGCTACGTCCCTGCGTAGCAGTGGGCTAAGCGCTCCATTTACTTTCCACCTTTCTAGCTCTGTGCCTGCTATGTATCATTCTTGAAAAAAAAAATTAGGCATGTGAATGATTCAAGATTCTTACCATGTTTTCCTTTTGCTGTAATCCTGCACTCTATGCCCCTTCCATCTGGTAATGGCAGGGGTCGCTAGGGACTGATCCCCAAGGCCAGGTTAGGTGAGTGTACTCCCACTGAACTGTACGTTAAGACAGCCTCATTAAACTGCCCAGGATGGCCACAATTTATGATCTTCCTGCCTCAGCCTCCCCAGTATTTTGGATTAAGGCATTCACATAGCCTCTCTGGAGAATTCTTGACTGTCATTGCTCTGGGAAGCTTCTCCTATAATCTCCACATGTTCAGCCAACTTTACCCCTTCTGTATACACTGCACTAGATAACGCTTCTTATGATATGTGAACATAGTACAGCCACATTGTTCAAATTGTTTTGTTCAAATTGTTCACACATCAGTTTCTCTCTTAGAATACAAGTTTTTTAAACCACATGTGGAGGTGTACACATGTAAACCCAGTACTTAGGAGGCTGAGGCAGGAGCATCACTGTAAATTTAAGGCCAGCCTACACTACATAGTGAGATCCTGCCTTCAAAAAAAAAAAAAAAAAAAAAAAAATAGAGGGGCTGGGGATTTAGCTCAGCGGCATAAGCAGCTCAGCGGTCGTGAGTTCAATCCCTGGTACTGATAAAAACAAAAAAGACCAAAAAAAAAAAAAAAATATATATATATATATATATAAGCCCTTTGTTAGGAGACACAAGATTTTATCTGTTTTTCTAACATCAAAGATACAATAAGTGATCAATAAATGTTAACTACAGCCAGCATAGCGATTCATGTCTGTTAGCACTATGGGAGGCTGAGGCAGAAGGACCACAAACTCAAGCCAAACCTAGAAAATTTATCAAGTCTTTTTTTTTGGTGCTAGGAATCGAACTTGTGATCTTGCACTTGCCAGGCAGGCACTTATGCCTGCTGAGCTAAATCCCCAGTCCCCTCAAGTCTTTATTTTGAAATAAAAGATTTTAAAACCAGGTATGGTGGCTCACAACTGTAATCCCAGCACTCTGGTGGCTGGGACAGAAACATCCTTGAGTCTGGGACCAATGTGGACTAAAAAGTGAGCTCAAGGCCAGCCTGAACTGCATAATGAGACCCTGCCTCAAAAAGACTAAAAAGATTTTACAAAGGCTGGGGATGTAGTTTAGTGTAAAGGCTCTTGGTTCAACCCGTAGCCCACTCCCACCCCAGAAAATAGTTAACTGAACTAAAGGTGCCGGATGAGGTGGTGCATGCCTGAGATTCCAGTACTTGGGAGGCTAAGACAGGAGCATCACTGTGAATTTCAGGCCAGCCTGGGTTATGTAAATGAGTTCAGGGCAATCCTAGATTACAAAGTAAGACTGCCTGAAAAAAAAAAGCACATACTTTTTTAAAAGGCTTATTTAACAGTACCATATACCACACAGAAACCACATAATATCAATAGTTTTATCAAAGAAAAAATACTTCAAAACTAAAAGCAGATCACCTTATCTGAAACTGCAAAGAGTATCTACTAAAACGAATATGACATGCCACTAAACAGGGAGCGAGAGGAAGAGATATCAAAGACAATTCATTGTTTAGGCACTAGTGGACTGCAGGGCCAATGCGCCCTCTAGGGTGCTCCTGGGGGAATGCAGTCCATGCCCTGCAGGGTTGGTTTACAACAAAGATGAGATACACCCACCACCAGGCAGGCAATGCCACACTCTGGCAGAGGAGCAGACAGAAGTACAAAACTGTACAAACATCACTGTCTCACCGCTACTACTGGGTACTGGAGAAATTCTTCAGTGTCTATCTGCAAAGGATTCTAGTGAGTAAAATATAGCACAATAATAAAATGGAAAACTGCAGCTATTTTTCACACTTAAAAGCTCTGAAATGCAGGCTGTGTGTGCTGCATGCACTGCTGCACAAAGGCTTTCATAATGTGCTTTGAAGTGTTCCACCAATAGGACTCAGGGCAGTATGCTTTCCAGCACACCTTCACAGCTTCCCTATTGAGTTGTTTACATACAGAATGATGTGCTTATTGTCAATAGAAAAGCAGGGTGACCACTTTAAGTGATAAACATCGAGAGACAATTACTTTGTAATTCTCAACTAAATTAGTACATTGCAATTTGGAAAGGCTTTCAACTTCGAAGTTACAGTTTTATGATAACTAGCAAAAGAAGAAAATTTGTTTTGTTTTTTTGAGACATGGTCTTGCTATGTAGTTCAGGTTGGCCTTAAACTCACTATGTAGCCCAGGCTGGTCTCAAATTTGTGGCAATCCTTCTACCTCAGCTTCCAGAGTGCTGGGATTAAGGTATGCACCACCACACTCAGTTTATTACCAAAATTTTTATGCATCATTATAAAGAATACCATAGAAGAAAAATCAAATTCTATGCAACACACAAATGTCAAGTTTGAATTTACCATGTACTCTTCACTTTCTTCTCTATAGTCGTCCAGTTCTTTATCTAAACGAGAAAGTTCTTTATTGACGTCATCAAGTTCTGCTTGTAAGCGTTTGTATTCCTGCAGGCCACTATCAAAATTTCTCTTGTAGAGCTGTCTTTGTTGATCTGAAGTGATGGGTGGATACTCTCTAAGGATTAAGAGAAAAATTACATATATGTCCTTAACAGAAATTTAATCCAATATTCTTCCTCAAAGATCATAAAGCTGGTGGAGTGTGAAAAATGACATTCTAGTTGTGTTTTTTATAGAGAAAAAGAAGTGGGATACAAAGAACTATTAAGGATTATACGTTTCTTGGGGGTGGAGGCAAGTATCTGTAATCCCAGCACTCGGGAAGCTGAGGCAGGAGGATCTCTGAGTTTGAGGCCAGTCTATACTATACAGTGAGTTCAAGGCCAAACTAAACTATATAGAGAAACTCTGCCACAAAAGAAAATGGAAAAAAAAAAAAAGAGTGTACCTTTGCGCTGGTACTCAGTGACAGTGACTGCTTAGCATGTAGAAAAAATTATACTTTTTGTGTTACTCACATTTTTTAAAAACTATTTCTTTTAATGTTCAGAAATCAAGTTAAAAATCACTTATGAAATTTAGGGTCAGAGTTACAGGATTCATTTATATCCTAGCACACCACCATGTGGTAACGTAGTACTTGTATTCGAAGTTCTTAGTTGAACCTATTTTGATCTTGCAAGGCAGAGCAGTGGTTGGGTGCAGCTGTTTCCTACCCCATCTACATTTTTCACACTGGCTTGTATTTCCTAAGTGAAAATAGCTTATTTTGCCCTTTCATTACAATAGCAGACATTAAAAATGTATACACAGGAGCTGGGGATGCAGCTCAGTAGTAGAGCACGTGCTTGGCATAGGCAAAGCCTTGGTTCAACCTCTCTCACACACAAAAAAAGTACACATGAGACCTGTGCTTTTGCTGGGCATGGTAGCACATGTCTGTAATCCCAGCACTCAAGAGGATGAAGCAGGAGGCCCATCCCAAGTTTAAGGCCAACTGGGGCTATTCAGTAAGTTCAAGGCCATCCTAAAAGGAACTATGCAGGGAGATCTTGTCTCAAAAACAAAAGAAAACCAAAAATAAACCAAAAACCAATGCATTCACTTCTCCCTTCCTTCCTTCCTTTATGTGGTTCTGTGGGTTGAACTTAAGGCCTTTTCCCTGAGCTACATCTCTAGTCTTTAAAAAACATCTTACACAGGGTCTTATTAAATTGCCTACACTGGGTTAGAACTTTTATCCCCCTGCTATAACCTCCAAGAATGCTGGACTTACAAGCCTGCACCACCACACCTGGCACACATGCTCATATAGAAACAATCTAAAAACTTACTCAAGTATGAAGAAAAATTAGAATTCTGCACCACTTGTCTCCCTGAATACAAGAGCATCTCTTTGCATAGACGATGACGTTATTGACTCACAACCTACTGAGAAAATACTCTGAATAGTTTGACAGGACTAAGACACTTCAAAGCAATGTGAAATCTCAAAATTTAGATGAAAGAGTCAGCCTACTATCTTCATTTTAATGAGAGAAGACAGTACATGATTTGTATCAAAAGTAAAACAAAACTTTAGGGTTTCTCAAAGTTTTCAGTTAAAATCTTAACAATACAAATTAGGCAAATAGGTTTATACACAGATGGCTGAAGGAGGCCAAAAATTCTTTGGGGGAGGGCAGATGAGGCACCAGGATTGTCACTGAATAGGGGATCTCAAGCCCCATCAAAGAGTTGTTTTGTTTTTTTTTTCCCTCCCCGCAAAGAGTTTTTGATTAACCAGCATTCATAACCAGGAAGATTTCTGATCTATGTCCTGGAGCTCGGGACACTTAGGCATGAGAAAAGGCCACACAGCACACTTGCATGCATTTGGTGACAGTGGGTTAGAACCAACCAGCAACACGAACTTAAACCACAACCTTGGCCAAAACACTAAATTGTTTACAGAACTGTTTACTCAAGTTCTTTGTACCAAACTTTAGGAGAAATTCTGGTTTTATCGTGGTTTTAACGGCCAAAGCTAAGCCTCAGTACATGGATCTCACAGAACACAATTCCTCTGTATCTGTATTTTATTAATTTGAATAACTCCTCTTGGGGACCTTGGTAGGAGAGCACAGGTGACGATCATCAGCCACTTCACTGGGAAGCTCAAAGTGCACCTAAGACAGGTCACTCCCTCCACATCCACCTTTATGACAACAGCACACCACAGGAAAAGGGCACCAGGAGGTGCTGCCTCCCGTCCTAGGTGGTGCAGAATGAAATTTCATCATGAGCCCCGGTTCCTAGGCAACAACCACAAAGCTGGCTGGTCAGAACTGGACAGAAAGTGAGGGGCTGGCAGGAGGGGAGGGGACACTACCTGATCCAGTCCTCCTCCAGCTCGTCGCAGGACTCGCCACCTGTCGTGTAGTCTGTTTCATAGTGGTCTTGCTCTGCTCTCTTGGGCTTGCCGGCTTTTCCCTTCCTGGGGGCCCTCTGTGAAGGTGTCTCTAAGTTACTGGTGCTACTGGCCCGAGGCTGCCGGAAGTCGTCCACAGAGGAGGTCAGAGGCAGCTCCCGCACCACTTCCGGCACTCTAATAAAAAGAAGAGGCAGGGCTCAGTGACCAAGAGTAGGTGCAACCCCGCCAGCACACGTGCCAATGAGAGGCAGCAACAAGAGCACGGGCAGACATCACCCTCTAGGTGGAGTTACCCGAGGAGTTCGCAGCTAGCACTGAGCAGAGGTCTAGTTTAAAAGCTGCAATTCCTTTTGGCACCAGCTCAGAACTACAACGCACACACGCGGCTTTCAAATTCTGACAGGAGGCCTTATTTTTTTCTATGCAGTGGCAGCGACAGCACCGCGGCTTTGGGCGTACCGTGCAGCGCCTCGGCGCCACACCCCGTTCCACTGCTCTTTTGTTTTGCAGCTTCCAAGAGAACATGGACTTTGTATTCCCAGAACTACACCCCCAGCACTCCAGGGGAGGAACATTTTTGAACTTCAAAGCCAAAGGATCTCAGATTTCATTTTAGGAAGTTCAGGCAGCTCCATCAGTGCAGTTTACTGGCACTGTGCTAATGACTTACTCTGCACCAGGCTGTCAGGAAAATAAAGACCATGATTCTTTTCAACAGGTTCTGCCAGTTCTGCAGTAGAACGCCAGGTCGCCAGTTTGGGGAGAGGATGCAGCTCATGTGACCAAGCGATAAGGGCTTTTAAATATTAATTCTATACTACCATGTATCAATTATCCTTTCAAGATAAAAGTTTAAAAAATAAAACCCTAAAAATCTAACTAAAAAATTTATAGTGTAAGGATTAAAGAATTTAGTAAGCTTTCTAAAAATTGTTACTGAGCTCATTGTAGCCCAGGCTGGTCTCGAACTTGCAAGAATCCTCCTGGCCCCAGCCTCCATAGTACTGGGATTACAGGTATGTGCCACCACATTCAGCTTGATGTTATTTCTAATAGTGGGAAAATGTGTCTTTCTCCACGAGTCAATGATTAGTAAGTTCTCAGACACTCTGCAGCTACTGTGCTTATTGCTACCTCCCTGCTGACCTGATAGTCTCCCTGATAGCCTTTACCTCAATCAGATAAATAGTCTTCTGTGACACACCAACAGCCCACATCATACTAATTGGAAAAAAACTAAAAGCTTTCAACCTTAAATTAGGGAGGAGGTGAAGATATTCACTATCACTACTCCTGTTCCATATAGTTCTGGAAACAGCCAGAGCAATTATACAAGAGAAAGAAATAAAAGGAAGAAGACTAAGGAAGGAAGAAGTGAAATTATTATTTGGAGACCACAAGATATTCTACTCAGAAGACCCCCAAAATTACACAAAACACTTCCAGATTTAGCAAACAAATTCTGAGGTGTAGCTGGATACAAAGTCAACGATCAAAAATCAGTAGACTTCTTGCACACGAATAACAAACTCAGTGAGAGAGAAACCAGGGAAACAACACTTTTCACAATAGTATCCAAAACCTGATATTTTTAGGAATCCTTCTAACAAAGGTAGTGAAAGATCTATACATTACAAGTTACAGGATTTTGAAAAAGGAGTTCAAAGATGATACTGGAAAATGGAATGATACCCTTGCTTATGCATAGGGAGGACCAACACTGTGTAAGTGTCCATATTCCCAAAACTGTTGTATAGGTTTAATATAATCCCGATCAAAATTCCATTAGTGTACCTCAGAGGTCTAGAGAAAACATTCTTAAAATTCATCTGGAACCAGAAGAGACCAGAATCCTGGGCAACAAAGGCAAAGCAAGAGACCTTACAATCCCTGACTTGAAATTATACTACAAAGCTACAGTGATGAAATTAGCATGGTATTGGCAAACAGACTTGAGAATCATTGGAACAGAAAAGACGCAGACACAACCTACACTCAGCCACACTCTCACTGAGAAAGGTGCCAAAGATGTTCAGTGAAAGAAATCCTCTTTAATAAATGGTGCTGAAAAACTTTTTTCCATATGCTGAATACTAAAACTAAAATCAAACCCCTGGCTATCACCATGCACTAAAGTACAAATAAGATTTTTTTTTTTTTTTTTTTTTTGGTGCCAGGGATCCAACTCATGGCCTTGCACTTCGCAGGCAGGTGCTTGTGCCTCTGAGCCAAATCCCTGGCACAAATGGATCAAAGACCTAAATATTAAAAGAGAAATATGAAATCTACTAGAAGAGAAATTAGGTGGAAATCTTGAAGACATGGCAGTAGACAAAGATTTCATGAACAAGAACAAACTACATAGGAAGTACTTCAAGGATCAACAAACAGGATTTCATCTTATTACAAAGTTTTTTTATTCACAGCAAAACGAGTCACCAACAGAGTGAAAAGAAAACTCACATATTGGGAAAAACCAGCCAACTGTTCCTCAGACAAAGGACTTGTATCTGGAACATATAAAGAACTGAAAAACATCAGGTCCTGGGATTCTGCCTTTCCCCACAAACAATGGCTATCATCAAAAATCACTGAATAATCAATACTGGCAGGGTTGTGGGGCAGAACATCCTTTGCCAACCTTCATAGGCATATAGACAGGTACAAGCACTGTGGAAATCAGTGTGGAGGCTCCTCCAAAAACTAGGACTAGAGGCCCCATTCAACCAAGTTATTGCCCTTCGGGGTGTTTTCCCAGAAGAATTAAAAACATCATACCACAATGATATATGTTCATCCATGTTTATAGCAGCACAATTTGTAACAGATCTTTGAAACTACTCAAATGCCCATCAACTGCAAAAAGCATAAAAATGATGTATTTTCTGTTTCTTTTTCATAGTGAGGATCGAGCTCACGACCTCACATCTGCCAAGCAGGCAGTTGGGCTGCTGAGCTAAGTACCTGGCCCTAGGATACGGTATTTTAATACAAGATAGTATTCCTCAGCTATAAAGTTGGATAAATTCAAGGCTTTTATAGGTAAATGATGCAACTAGATGTTATACTTACAAGTGAAGTAAAACAGACCAATATGGGTAAACAGCATGTTGTCTCCCTAGTGTAAGAAACTGAAAGAGTAAATAAGATCTAAAAGGTATAACGCATATTCTGCAAGAGAATGAAACTGCTGAAGAGGAAAGAAATGGGACAGGGAAAAGGAGAAAAGAAGCAAGGAAAGTTACATATATACATATGTGTATACACACACAGATACCTAAGACAGTTCTACTACTAATGCTCATAGGTCATCGAAAGGAACATTAACTGCTTCTATTTGAGTAGTTCTGCATCTGGTAATCACAGCAACTGTTTTAAAGACCACAATATGCAATATAATAAGCATTGTTAATTTCCTATCTTGTTTTGAAGTTCTGTATTTTTTGTGGGTTTTTAAATTCTCTTTAAAATTGAAAATGGTTGAAAGTGTTTGTCAGTATTTTCACTAAAATTCAGGTTACCTGTCCCATTTATAATAAAGCAGGCAGGAGCTTGTTTTTATGTATATCTCCTACAGGTTCTTCTGGTAACTTAGAGCAAGTTCTGTTTTACATGATGCCACTTGCAGCACTTGTAGACAGCTGTCATGATCACACATAAATGTCCTGATCATTTCACTGAGGGAATTAAAATATTGTAAGTGGGATTAGAGGCATATGCCTTTAATCCAAGCTGTTTAGGAGTTAGAGGTGAAAATCAAACAGTTTGAGGCCAGTCTCAGCAATGTAGTGAGAGTCTGTCTCAAAATGAACAAATTAAGCTGGAGCCAGCTGAGGTGACACACACCTGTAATCCCAGCCCTCGGGAAAGCTGAGGCAGAAGGATCCCTACTTCAAACCCACCCTAGGCAATTTGGGAAGACCCTGTCTCCAAATACAACAGTGCTAAGAGTGTAGCCCCCTTTGAAGGCCCAAGGTGAAGTCCCCAGCACTGCAGAAAAATGAAACAGAATGATGGTGTAGGCATGAAAAAGGGAAGTGCAAAGGCACTCCTGGATTTGATCTGCACTGCCAAAAAGGCTGGGGAGTCATTTTCAGGTCAAAATAGAATGTACAACCTAGCTGCTATTAACTCACATTTTTCTGCTGTCTGAAATAATTAGGAAATATTCTGCTGCTTGCTTTTTCAAGATCTTTGTTTATAGAATTCTCATGTATAATATATTGTTTTATTTTAACCTAACAGAATTAAAAGATGTTTCCGAAAGTCAGCTTCTAAAACCATAAACCGAGAATAAAAAACCTGAGAAAAGACCTGGACAGTATGGAAAATTCAGACAAGATAAACACCATGCAACAAAGCCTACAGACAGAGATGGAGCTTGCTACAGTTACTCAACATGTGTTCCAGGTAACATTTGTATAAATCAGGAAAGGAGGGATAAAGACCTTTTTAAAACACCACTGATATGAATACTTACCACGGTTTATGTTAGGCTGTGGTCATAAGCTAATTCAGTACAAGGTCTGAGTCCGTAGCTGAACTGGAGAGCACTTGCCTAGCACTGGTGAAGCCCCGAATTCAGTCCCAGCATTGCAAAAATCATAATTGTCTACTGATATTTGCTGTACTCACATATATAATATTCATGTACAGTCAGCACATTTTTCATCGTGGTTAATCATTAGGATTTAGAACTGGCATGTTTTCTACAGCTCTAGAGGCAGGTTGGAGTACAGCTTTAGCCTCCAAGTTTGAGGGCAGAGTGGACCTGGGTGACAGTGGCAGCTAAGAAGGTGACTGCTACCATTGGGAATTTAGCTCAAGTGGGTGCTCAAGGACATGGGGTTGACCCCAACCCCATCACAAAGAGAGAAATATCAGCATGATGACTGGTCCAAGTAAACTCTAGTAAATGTTGCCATAAGATTTTTCCCCTGAGACATTAATGGAAAGAAAGAAAGAAGAAAGAAAGAAAGAAAGAAAGAAAGAAAGAAAGAAAGAAAGAAAGAAAGAAAGAAAGAAAGAAAGAAAGAAAAGAAAGAAAGAAAGAGAGAGAAGGCTGACTGAGCTGACTATGGAGGCCCATGTTTGTCCACACAAAGGGCTGGGGATGCAGCTCAGTGTGATGGCCATGGGTTCCACCCCTGGGCCTAGGGATGAAAGAAGCAAAAACTGTCTGTGGAAATTGATGAGATATTTGCAAACATCATAAACATACCTTTACCCTGCTGAAGCCTCTTGTAAGTAGAAATGAAGACAAAAGTGTATCACACACTGGGAATACAGGCAAGTGTCACAGCACCTGCCTGGCTAGCATGAGGTCCTGAGTTGAATGCTTGGGACAGAAAAAATAATTGTGTATCACTCTTTTCTGTGAATACAGAGCTACTGTACTTTTCTAGTAAATGTTTAAAACATTAGATAAGGTTAGTGAAGGGATTATTTAACAAAAATCTTGTTAAAATTTTAAAGTTGTTATATTTTGAGTTGTTTTTTGTTTTTACTTTAAACTACAGAACATCATTTTGGGGTGTAAAGTCAACTGGGCAGCAGATCCAGCACTCAGGGAAACTGTTCTGCAGGTGAAAAGGCTCTCACCACAATCTAACAAGAATTCCACTGGGCCAGGTGTTGCCATGTGTGCCTTTGATCTCAGCACTCAGGAGGCTGAAACAAGAGGATTGCCACATGCTGAAGACCAGCAAAGATTTGCACCTTGCAGTTTTTGGATTTTTGTCTCTGATATGTCATTTAAATAGCAAGTTTCAAGTGAAAGGAATTTACCATCTTTGGGGAACTCTCCTAATCTGTAATTGCTTTTTAGCTTCAGTTAACACTCTAACCTAGAATCGGTCATTTTAAATAACACTAAAGTGACTGTGTACTCTTAAAAGGGGAATGTCTTAGTCATGGAAAAGACACCTGGTCTGATATCTGAGGAGCAGGCGCAGTTTTGGACATTCACAAGGTCCCAGCATTTGATTGTAATACTTGTGTGCATTTCTGCATTTGTCAGTCAGGATGCAGAGAAGTCTCCAGAGTGTCAGCAGCTGGTATAATTCGTAGTGGGGTTCTGAGTAACTGTCTTCTGTTCTCTCTGTGTCTGTTTCTCCCCTCACAAATACCTCTGCTCACACACATACAAAAATGCTGGCTACACCCTGGCAATGCTGATGTACAGTGACATCCATGCCCATTTTCAGTTCTGTTTGGA